GTATATAACTTCTGCTAATATAATGCGTCGCCACGCAGTAGAAGTGGACCACTTCCATGTCATTCTTCTCACGGATGACTCGACTGTTCGGTCGGCTGGATCGTTCTCGCAGCTATTCAAATATTTACTTATCAATTTCTTTTGTTCATATAATTGCTTCTGTTTTTCATAAAAATTCCTGCCAACGCTTGTCCACCGGAGGCCGTCGTCGTCCAAACCGTTGAGGAGGTTCATCATTATATTAATTGAATTAATACTTGCTACTTCACACACTGCAATGTAGTTGATTAGCCGCTGCGCTTCGATTAACTTCTTGAATCACCTTCATAATGTTGTAGCTGTTGATAAAGACAAACTTCGAGAAGATTTTTCAGGATTCATTAACCATAGTTGCCAGTTGTGACGAACTTAGAGAGTGTCGCCTATGTCGGTCGGCATGATGGTGTATTGTGTCATCTGCCCATCTCTAGTCGTGGTTCATAATGTTGAATTGTTATTGGTTCTGACACGACTTGACTTCCATTCAGAACTTGCAATGATTCAGCAACCAGGGTCGAGATGTAATGACCGAGGTCTGCCAGTGTCGCCATGTAACGACAAACTGGATTGAATAGCTTTTCGCCATTCTCGGCAATGATGTTTATTCAGCTATTTCACATATCCAGAGTGTAACAACTTCATACATAATACGCATATATATAGGAGAGAGATAGAAGAGAGACAGGAGAGAGATATATTAGAACAACGGCAAGAGAACAGACAGAGAAGGAAGGAGAATCATCGAACCGTGTCATCAATATCGGCACAATATATACTTTTTATATGATCTATGAACTACGCTAAATTCAAAGACTAATAAATATCGTTACTAGAGCAAAGTAGATTTTAATCGAGAGTACTCACAAACTCTGCAACTTCTTACTAGGAAAGATTTTCAAATGATAAATTGCTTTTAAGCTAGAACTATATTCAATTGATGAGGCTTAGTGATTAAGTAAATATCCTAGAGTAAATCGAACTGCTGGGGTTTTGTTGATCAGATATCGAATTTTTAGTCGATTTTCAAGCGAAATAATACTCTATTTGATTTTCATAGTTTTGTCTGCTTACTTTGATCTATGAAATAAATCTCATTTAATTAATTTTTATCTCTTAGAAGCTGAATTAGTACCAAATACAATTAAATCGGGTTCATTTTATACATCGGGATAAATGAACTATGAAAGTCGAAAAAACATTGAATTTCTTTTACAGTTATAGACGACCAATTAAACTTATTTGGAGACTTTTGAATAAATTATTGCACGTAGAAACTCAACATATGCTACAACTTTAACTAGTATCACCTAGCATATGTATTATATATACGAAGCTTAATTAACCATTGCAAAGAAGAAATGGAAAACATTCTCTGTTATCTTTCTTTTTTTTAATTTTTATATCTTTTTAAAAATTTTATTTAGTTTTGTCTACATCTTAATTTTTTCTCATATATATGCACATATTTAAAAAAAAATTGAACTGAGGACATTTTAACTATTACGTATGTAACATAATTATAGATTTCATTCGACAAGATTAATATTTCGTTAAAGAATTCTACTTAATACAGTTCATTCAAGAATTCATTTGTTATTTTTGCACGTAATACGAATGAAGCAAAATCTTCAACCATTGTTAAAATGTAAATATCAAATCCATTTTATAAATTAATAAATATTATTGATAAATTGAAGAAATATTTCAATAGATTCATTAAAAGTATCTTCAGGAGTGTTCCAAGGTCGTCATAATTGCAGAGACGGCGCGAGCGGGGGGTGGGGGAGGGTACCCCCTTCTACTTTTGAAAATTTTCGGTTTTTTGCTCAACTATTACCTCAAATTTTGATTTTGTTTTATATTTTCTCCCATTTTTCGAAAATACTTCCCCCTGCTTTGACCTCTTCGTGCCGCCCCTGCATAGTTGTTGAGATAGTTGCAATTTTTTATGCCGAAGTTGTGAGCAAAACAGAACAATAAAGCGCTAGATAAAAATGAAAACTTTTCAAAATTAAAATGGAGACTCTCCCTCAACCTTTTCTACTCGGGACACATGATTATCTTACGTAAATATCAGATAAAAATGAAACAGTAGATGATCAGAACATATCCACAATGTTGGATGACAACTAAATATGAAGGTATAAATCAATAGAAATATAGATTGATTTTTGAACTTTTATATGGTATTTTATTGTCTTAATCCAAAATGTTTCTTGTATAGAGCGTCATCTGTTATCTTTGAAAACAATATTAACCAATAATCAATTATATTTCTAGAAGATGATTCATCAACGTTGTTCGAGACAAAAGCTGCGTTAGACAAGCGAGTGTGCTCTCACTATAAAAGCCCAAGAAAAAACACAACTAAATAATACAAATGCTCCTTCAATATTTGATTTACAAACAGCAATCAATAGTTTGGTGCTTTACGTCGATTTTGCAAATTTTCTTCTAGATTTTTGATTAATTATCTTTCAAAAAGAAGAATGACTTCCAGGTGTGATAATAGTTTTTTCTTATTTCTAAATATGAAAGATGATTTTTTATTTAAACTTATTTAATTAGACTCGATCGTCTTTTAACATTATTGAGTACTGGAGATTCATTAGCAGTAAAACGTTCGGCGGCTACACAAATTGGTCAAGTAGCTAGTACATATCCAAAAGAAGTCGAACCTATTGTTAATAAAGTAAATAAAACAAAGAAAAAAAGATAATAGAAGTATTCTGATTAATGAAATTTTTATTATTTAAGCTTAAAAAATATGCTATACATTCGTCATGGGATGTTCGTGTTGCATGTGGTTTAACTATTGAACTGATCAGTAAAAATATATCTAATGAATTTTTCGGTAGAAAATTATTTTCTTACAGTTTAAAGAAAAAGAAAGTTATTTCTTTTAGTTTTATTCAATGAAAATTCACACTATGGTTTAAAACTAAATTCATTTAATTTTGATAATGTTATTGCAAATAGTTCAATATTTTATCTTGGTGCACGTAAAATTGAAGAAATAGGCGATTATGGTTTGTTGTTAATTTGAATTTATTTATTATATTTATTTGATTGATTTTGATGTCATAGATGGAAATGTATCTGTACAAAAAAAATTCGTTCGTAAAGAATTCAATTTTGGTTTACAAGAACGTTTAACTGGTACAGATATGCCAGTAGAAGAAAATGATTTTAAATTTGACTCATTTAATAGCAACAATTCAAATGTTAAATGTGTATGTTAAAATTATTTGATTGTTGTTGTTGACTTGTCTTTTAATATTTGTTTTATTTGTATTTGAATAAAGGTGTCATCTGGTGATTTACAACGATTTTTATTTGGTGAACAGTATTCAATTGTTGAACAAAATCATTCACTAGAACCAACATCTTCAAAACGATTAAAACTATCGAGTTCTAATGATGAAAATGAAGAGGTAAGATCAAAAACCGTTTTTTTTTGCTTAGTAGTATTATTATTATTTTGAATAAATGAATTTTAATCATCTTGTTAAAGACTCATCTGAACGTTCTGTTAATTCGTTTCCAAGAATAAAACACTCAATACAGTTTTTTGTCTAAGAAAAAAGAAATCGATTTTTATGATTATAAACTCAAGTGTTTTATTCAGCAAGAAAGTAGCATACCTTCAAACATTAATTTAGTCCATCCAAAGTTTGTGCTTATTTTACTACATACCTACGTGTTTTTACTTTCAAGAATATGTGGTTGCCCTGTCGGAGTTTGATATTGATTCTTCCGACAAGAAAATCTGGATATAACACTGAAAAACTCCAAGTTTGATATAAATAGTTTCAAATTTTTAATCGTTAATTATGGTATATTAACCGATTTATATAGGAAATAGCGATAATTGACTGGCTACGTCGTTTCACACATATCCAAAGAGTACAGTTTCCAAACCTCAATATCACCAGTCATAGAATGACCATGGACAAGTCGCTAACGGCTATTTATCTCGAATTATGCGTTCGATAGTATGGTAGTTACATTTTAAGAATTATCAGAAAAACAAAAAAAGTTTCAGATTTCTATAATCTGCTATAGTTCTACGTTTTTAATTCACATGCCATGACTAGGGTGTGTGGGACCAATTGTAGAGGTCGTTTCAACCGCCAGGACTCAGACCATGGGAAGGAGAATTTTCTGAGATGAAAATCGAAACTGACAAAAAAAATTTCTGATCGGAGCTAAAGGTTATAGTTAAATATTCTATACTTTTCAATGAATTATCCAATAAATCAGAACATACTTCAGAAGAGACCACGCAAAAAAGTGCGAGTCGTCGACTGCATAAATCAAAAAACCAATATTGAGGAATTTTTTTAGATGTGATACAAATAAAGTCTAGATCAGTTTTATCTATAGTAGAGAACTGCAAAGTAGTTCCGGTCCTGTTGGAACTAAATTTTAATTTTAACGGAATCGGGACTTAAAACTTGCTAAAACTGGGTTCGTTATATTTTCTGCTCAAGAATTAGATAACATATTGCCATACTTATTATTTTTTTTTCTGACTAATGGCCTACATATTAATCCTTACTATTTATGATTGAGATAAAATTACGTATCTGCAAAATCACATTTTTCGATCCTGAACCGGAATCATCTTGGAGGTTCCTACTAAAAATAATACTCATAGTTCTGCAACTCCTAAGTTTTGATATTATTAAAATGAATCTTGAAGCAACATCAATATAAGCTCACTCGAGTGAGACAGGAACTTGACTTTGTTTTAATTTTCATGCATGCATATATAAGATATGCTTGTGCTATCAATTTCTCAAAGTCATCAATGTTAGTCTTACATGTATTCAAAGAATCATGAAAGTCATTAAAGAGATCAAATCAGGACCAGAAATAGTAAAAATTTTTTATTGAAACCGATGCCTAATCTAGAGTAGAACCGAGATAAAAAAAAACTTGGTCCTACACATCTCTAGTCACAAGAAATGATAGTAATACATTTACAATAAAATCGAAGTATTCATTTTTGAAATTATCAGTTTTTTTTCTGCACATCGTTGCATGTTGTGCATAAGATGGTCTCGAGCTATTTAAAAAAAAGAGTAGCAAAATTCAGAAAAATTATGTTGAATATGTCCTCGAGCGTCATTAGCAAAAAATAGAAGTCGAATTTTTATCAGAAGGTCAAAGAATTTCTCAAGGGAAAAACATCTCTGATGCTCCCTATTCGCTAGTGACAGAGTCCGCCGTTTGAACTCATATCGAGTCTAGCAGCAGGTCTGGGTAAATCTAGAAAAAGCCGAATAGAGATTATGCTTATGCGCCTTTGGCATCGAACAATGAACGATTTACTGCATTGTCAAGTCTGTTGTAGATTGTTTCTTGAAATTTAAATTACGCAGTTTCGATCTAGAAATTTCTCTAGAGATATATTGAATGATTCTTGAAATATTACGGAAAGTTTTAGTAGAAAAGAATGTTTTTTTCGTCAAGACATTGAATTTCCAGAAAAAACCCTTTGTCGCAGATATGCTACTAAAATGAAATGGACTTGCAAAATCAACAACATTTAATTCAACTGAAAATTTTGAAGATATTCTAAGAGTCAATATAAGCATCTATCGAAAAAATTTTAGATGGAAACTGTGTTAATTGGTTTTTTTGGAAACCACCTAAAAATGGGTCAAAAATTCAGTAGACTTATCATAACACGACGTTAAAGATCCTAGAGAATGGATCCTTCTAGACCTTCGGCAGTCTAAGCGAGACTTGCTTTCAAGTTAAATATGAGTTTTAACAGCGGCTGTTAGTTTTTGATAGGTTGTTCGTAAATATTAACATAAACCAATTTAGTCTGATAGAATTCATAAATGCATTACACAGAATCTTCAAGAAATTAAAAAACAATAATCTTTCATTGAAGTAAATTAAAAGACTTGAAGAACTAAAACGAGTGTTTTTGTAATTTTCGAATTCTTCATAGATAAACAAATTAATTAATCTATATTTTATTATGATTTTAGAATCGATTATCTTGGCCTTTAAGTGATTTTTATGATTGGCTACTTGAACAAATCTTTCAACCATCATGGGAATATCGACATGGATCCGTTACTGTTCTACGTGATCTTCTCAAAGGACAACAATCGTTATCAATTTCGGTTTGTAAAAATTATTTATTTATTTTTTCATGTTATAAATTAATATTTATTAAAATATAGAATGAATTTTATTTTCAATTACTCGAAGATTTAAGTGTTCGTTTATTAACATTAATCATTCTTGATCGTTTTGCAGATTATGTTTCTGATGAAGTAAGTTACATGTATATATACCTCAATGTTAAAAAAGAAAATATCTTGTTTTATTTATTTATTTTTAAATGCCTGTAATTTCTTTAAGACAATTTTTTCGAATACAATTATGATTAGGTTTTAATTCACTGCCTTCATAAATTTCACATGCTTCGAGACAATTACGAAATTCATATGATTCTAAAATAAATAAATATACAAAAGAAAACAACATATAATAGAATAAGATAAGAAAAAGTACCTTGATCATGAGTAAGATTATATTCATGTGCTTCCACTGTTATTGGAAAATGTTCTGATTGAATTTTTTTTTCATCTATTTGAATTGTTGTATTTTTTTCATTTTTCTTATCGATTATTGACGGTTTAATTGGTATCATTTTAGTAAAATTTTTATGAAAACGTGATTGATTAAATATCATCATAGTTGCTGTTAAATTTTTTGATTTATGAAATGGTCCAATAATAATTGTTATACCATCTTTATTATCTTGTATTTGACGATATGTTATATGTCGTTGTTGTAAATGAACTTCAATTAAATCTAATTGTTTTTGATCAGCTAATGTTTCAATTAATGAATTGTGTACACGTATGCGTACACGTAAAATATGTGTTGGTGTTGCTGTTTGATTAATTTTTGTATCATTTATTATTGTCGTAGGAAGAGTTGCTGTTGTTGTAATGTTTGAAACATGGTTATCTATGATTGTTGTCGTTGATGGAATGACTAGAGATGATGATCAAGCTGTGCCTGAATGATTATGCTGACTTGAAAATAAGTTTTTAAGAATCTCACCCATCGGTAGACAGTTATTGATCATTGAACAACCAAGCCAGACAATGATGACGACAATAACACGAGTCAAAGCCATTTGTTGATAGTTGATACTAACAAATGATTGCGACGTCGACAACGTTATAAATCTACAACTTTCACCTTCATCTTTGTTTACATATGTTTTCTATCGTATGGTTTCCATATACTATCCATCTTGGAACAATGTTATACTATTTACGTTATAGAGAAAATGATCAAGAACAAAAAAAAAACGGAAAAAAGAAAGATTTGTTTATCTATATATATATCTTATATTTGTATACATTAGATATCTAGCCTTCTGATGTAAGCATATTTCAAGATGAAAAGGAGTTATTTTTTCCTTGGTCTGCTAGTGAAATATATACATCGAACATGTTTCATGTCCTCTACTTCTTTTTTTTTTATATATTCTTTAAGGAGGAATATAAATTATTCGAAAATTATGAATTCTAGAATAAGAATCAACGAATTAATCAATAGTATCATTGTTAACATTTAAAATATCATTATAATTTAATGGAAAGAGTTTTGGCTTCAAGATTAAGCCTTTTTTGACAGTTGATATCACAGAAATGTAGAACTTGTCGCTAAAAGGAAAAAAATACGTTCCTATCAATATATAGGAAAAAGCCGATTGTCTTTTCTTTCACTCACATATCTTAAGGAAGCTACCGATATTTATTGGACTGATTTGGATTAATCTATTTATAGTATATACTACATTAGAGCTGTATCAAAAGAAAGACATAAATATGAAATGTCAGCCTTGATTCTCATCTGGTCGCCGGCTTCATGTGTTGTCCTCGCTCTTATCCTCAACCTGGTACCTACTCTTATCATAATTCGCTTCGTTTCATGATAAGATATATAGTAGAAGTTATGGGAAAATCCTGAAAGCTGCTGAACTATCATCCTAGGTGATAAATAACAACGAAATGTATTTCTTCTTAAGAAATATTCTTGATCAAAAGAAAAAAAATATTAGATTGATTGAATATCTTCAATTACAAAAACAATCATACTTTCATTCGTATAACATCAAAATATCTTTTTCATTCGATATGTCTTACTGTTATTCATTTCAAGTTAAAAAATCTCTTACTATGAGAGTAATATAATTTTTACGATGCATAACAGCAAAATTGCCTGTGTCAATCTATGCGAAATTTAATCAATCAACTTATCAAAATATTGAATTGTTCTATGTTCAAAAAGCAATAAATATAATAAAATGAACAATCTTATCTTATTATTTCATTTCAGAAATCAAATTCAAACATAATTGTATTTTCATATAAATTAAGTTCGATAATATAAAGTAGAAAAATTCGTGTTGTATAAATAGTCTGATCGGTTCAGAAAAATTCAAATGGTTTTTCTCTTCAATTTTTTGCGAAAGTTTTTTAAAGTATTAATTTGTAGCTTATGATTTAAAATGAATCATAATGAAATGAATTTGAAAACTATATTGTTTTATTATTGTCGAAACTGTTAATTAAATATTATTGATAATTAATATTTTTCGAATGAATTTATTAAATTGATTCCTTTTACTTAATATATAATAATCGACTATCTTTATAAATTGTCAAGAATAAAAATAAAATTATCGCTGATAACTTAAATTTTGAATATTCTTTAAATATTTTTCTTTTCGTTCTTTCTATTGATCTAGGTCGTTGCACCAATTCGTGAAACATGCGCACAAACTTTAAGTATTATTTGTAATCGTTTAAATGATCAACCACAATGTTCAACTTTAATTTCAATTCTTTTAAATCTACTCAAACACAATGGTACTTGGGAAATTCGACATGGAGCATTACTTACGCTCAAATATACATTCAATATTCTCAAGGTAGATAGAAAAAAAACAACAAAACTTATTTATTTATAATAAAAAAAATTTCATTCAATTTTAGGAAATACCCAACGATATGCAAATTCCATGTGTTCAAGCAGTACGACAATGTCTGAAAGACGAATCCGACGATGTTGTTGCAACTGCTGCAGCAACATTATTACCTGTCGTTACTCATTACGAATCTGTATAATTTTAATAATAATAATAAGACTCTATTGAGTTTTCTTGTCTATTTTTAATTTTTAGGTTGTCCTCGATTGTGCACCTGGTTTAATTGGTGAACTCATCTCATTACTTGATTCAATGGATGATCTTAACTCAGCTGCTAGTTCAATTATGAATCTTCTTGCTAAATTACTTGCATCGAATTCAGCTGAAAAGTACAGAAAACTATCGAATTTTTGCCTTTTATCAAGGATTGATATATTTTTTGCTTTTAAGATTTAAATTATCTTTTGCTCAAGTTCTACCAAAAATTTTTCCATTTTGCCGTCATCATACATTACCATTTCGTTTAGCTGCTATTCAAACTGTTATGAAAATTATTGAAGCTAGTCAAGTAAAAAAAAGAAAAGCAATTTTATTTGATTAATTTCTTTATGAACAAATATTTCTTTTTAATAAATTATAGTCGAAATTAAATACATGTACATCAGAAGAATTATCTGTACTTGAACATACATTTTGTCTCCTTTATGAACGATCTATATTGGAATCTGATGACAAAATTCTTACATCGATTGAACAAGTATGTCAAAGTTAGAATTTATTTTTTTTTCTGTGGAAATCACATTGAGTTTTTTCGAAAAGAAAGTTGTTAACTTTTAACTCAAGATTTTGCAGTTTCTTCTCGCAAAGTCATCAAGAACAATCGACTAAGGAACTATGGGTTCATGTTTTATGAATCCAAATCTACGACTCCTTACTAATTTCCAAGAGTTCTTCAGTAACGAAAAAGGCATCGAACAGCATTAAGGACAAATTTAGAAAGTTCTCGAAGATTCTAGAATCTTCGTTGAAATTTGAATTTGTACAATAAGTTTATGAATGTTCTAGATAGTGTAGTTTTCGAATTTTATGCAGCATTAAGGATGATTGGTAGTGATGCATGGATTTGTCATAATCATCAATATAATCAACATAAAAAAAAGGGTAGATTGATCACATTATAACTGTGATAAATAATCAATATCCAGTGTTTCTGAGCTAATCAAAGTATGTAGTAGGTCGTTGATACCTACAGCAACTATAATGGATTTGTACAACATATCTATTTGTCAGCTGGATCAATTGTTAGAAACATAATTATGTTAATTTAAGGAAAACAGAATATGAAAAAGAAAATTCACGGACTAATAGTACTTGACTATCCTTAAAAGAACAACCATAATCTGTGAGAAATTTTTTACTTAATGTATTTTGTATACGTATAATGAGATCAAAGAATACATGTGAATTTCAAATTTTAGTTCTAAATGGATTGTACTGACAAGCTATTTTTATTTAAATAAATTATTCTTTCTAGGCATGGAATATTCTTTGTCAATCGAATACTATTGTTCAACAATGTACATTTTCGTCATATCAACGATGGATTTGCCTATCTGTTCATCCAGCTAAAGTACCAATTAATCCAACATTGTTGTTAAATGATGAGCACATTCAACAAGTAAAAATTTTAATTATTCTTTTTTTTAATTTTAATTTTTGTTTTTCAATTCATTTATTGTTAGACACCACCAGTGATTGATAATGATGATAAACGTTATTTAAGTAGTTCAACAACAAATAATCATCAATATTTAGCTATGGGTTTTACAGTATGTCATCAAGAAGCTCCATTAGAACAAGATCGTACTGTTATTAAATGTCGTCGTCTAGCAGCACGATTACTTGGTCAATTATTTACTCATTATGATCAACAACAATCAAATGATGTTTTAAATTATATAAAATGTCTTAACTATCGTTCAGCTGTACAGCGAATGGTTGCAGGAATGATAGCTAGTGAATGGGCAAAAGTAAATTATATTATTGTTTTTTATTTTGATTAAATGAATATTTTTTCTTTCAGAATATGAGTGATTTTTCCATGAATACAAATATTCTTCAAGAACGTTTTCATAACGCATTAAATGAAACACTTTACTTTGATGAAATAGCACCATCATTTACTAAACTTAAACGTGATTTTACATCATTTATGTATGAATGTGCTAAACAACGATTATGTAATCCACAATCAATTGAAGCAGTTGAGTAAGTTTTGAAGAAAAAAAAAGAGAAAAAAAAAATTATTTATTGAACTATCGAGACACGTTCCCTTTGACGTCGATTATTATAATATTTTTTAATAACTTAGACGTTAAAGTTTTGTGTAACTCGAAAAAGAATACATTCAATGAACTTCTCTGGGTTGTATTCGAAAGATAAACGAATACATTCTTTGTTCCAGTTCATACAAAATTTTATTTTGATTATTTTCATTTGTTTCTTTTTTCTTATTTCATAATTATGTTTACTTTTTTAAGACTTCATTCAGTTGATCATATTATTGAATTATGTGATAATGTTCATCCAAGTATTGAATCACATGCTCAGTTAAATGGACAAAAACAAAATATTCGTGATGAAGCTCAACGGATACAAAATGAATCAGAAATACTTGCACTAAGGTTAGAGTTTTCATATATATATATATATTAATAATATTAATATGAAATCGACTTCAGCTAACGCATTCGTTTTAAAATTTAAATCTTTAATTATCCACAACTGAATAACAGATGTATCTGTTACAGTGATATATTGAAAAAAGAGACAGAATTCAGCGTTCTTAAAGAAGAACAAAACAAGAGTAAAACATAATGCAGAAAATAACCTTTATAATAAAAAATGTTGGCACTAGAATTTATATGGAAACGCAGCATAACATTTAATATCTTTCATCTTAATAATCAATTCATATGTTAGATAAATCGTTGGAAACGATAGAAAGAGTGAATCGATGTTTTACCTCGCTGCCAGTCGGAACAATTCACGTTGAAGCAACAATACTCGAGTAACACGTAATCATTCAGATGCTTAGTAAATATACATAATATAGATCATCGTAGGTGAATGCGAAAAACATATTGTTCCAGTAAAGACAGTGATAATAGGATGAAAGTGATTGAGATTTGTTCATTAAAACTTTGTGAAAAAAGAATAAAGCGCATGTAGTCATAAGAAGATTGGAAATACGAATATTGAAAATAGAACTCAACAAAGTCTCGAGCAAGCATTGAGTTCTAGTATATCTGCTATTTTTTTCTTTGGCTCAAGAGGGAGCTTATGTAGATGCCTCCCATTGGATTTGAATGATTTTTTTGCCTATACTGATTTTTTTAAATATGTATCAGCCAGAGGCCTCTGTAGGACCTTAGATTTTTGAAACAATTGTGTTCTTGAGTTTTGTCTTAAAACTATCTCCATGGAAAGGTTTCACAAACAGTAACTTCGGAGAAAAGTTTTAGAATTTCGTAGATTCTTGCATTCGAAATATGAGCTTTTTGAAATATTCTTTTATGATTTATTACGTTTCGAAAAATGTATATTTTTGAAAAATCCCTAGCTTACAGATATAAAGTCTAGAAACGCTGAAACTTTTCATACAAGCTACTGTATGTGAAATCTTCCGAAGGAAGTATCTCCAAGACATAGTTAAAAAATACGACTTTTCCGAAAACTTGTATCCTATGGAAGATCTTCTGATCGAAAGAAGACATTTGGGAAATTCTCATCGTCAGCTAAAATTCGTCGAAAGTCAGGTGCGACTTAGGATATATATGATCTCTTCTTAGAACTTCACTCCTGATATATGTCTGTTTGACAAAACGTTGTTTATTTTATCTAGATCAACAGCTTATTTGGCATCAGCTTGTGTTTATTGGCATTTTCTTGGTGATCAACTGAATCCACTCATTCGACCTTTGATGGATGCATTAAAAAAAGAATTAGATCCACAGATTCAAGTGAGATACTATTAGATATCATTGCTAAATGAAAATTTTACAAAAAAAAACATGATTTTATTAATCTAATCATTAAAAAAAATAAGAGAAGAAACACAATAAGTCAGAGATGGAATTGGCCAGAGTAGGTCAGACAGATTGGTCTGAAATCCATATTGACACCTAACTGAAGAGCTATAGTATTATTCCATCTTTGGGTAGTGATATGTGACATAGTCAAATCTTAACAAAGTTTCATTACACATCCCCTATGAGATAATAGAAGTAAAAAAGAAAAAGAAAAAAGATACACCGTTAATGATTGATTGGTTTAAGAGCGGGACCAAACCAGCCGGTAACCGATACAGATTTCATCTTCGCAATAGATCATAATATTTATTCTTCTATATTTAGCAGAATTCAATTATTTGAATGTATAGCATTGTTTTTTGTCAATAAATCTTTAAGTTCATTATGAAATTTAGAGCCTTCTCCTAATGTCAGATAATTCATTCAAACTGAATTTATAAAATTTTATTAAATAAATTAAAACAAATTTATATTCTTATATCTTTTTTCTTAGAATGATATAGCTCATGCTATTGCAGATCTTATCTGGCAATGTACTCAACGAACAACAAGTCCTAATCCGAATAGTAAAATTATTAAAAATTTATGTAGTTATGTATGTGCTGATTCGGATGAGACACCACATGTTACAAATCCTTCACGTTTTGCAGGTTTGATATTTTCATATCATATCATATTTGTTTCATTTATTAATATTTAATAGAATCTAATGAAACATCAATAAATGTTAATGAAGAATATAATTGTACTATTTTAAAAGGAATTTATACATGGCAAAAAACAAATAGTGTAAAACTACGAAGAAAAACAAGATGTGTCTGTTTTCGAAAATAAATCATCTTTAATTTCGTTTATTCTAGGATGATACAACAAAAATTCCTTTAAATCGTGATTCATCAACTGATTCAACATCTACACCTTCTTCAAATAATTCGAATGCTAAAAAATTCGTATGATCATTTGAAAAACAAATAAGAAAATTTATAGGTAGATATATTGCCTTATTTAGAATTTTGATGCACCAAATAATACTGATTGTACAAGACATGGTGGTCAATGTGCTCTATCTGCTATTTTTCATCGATTTGGCGCTGAAATTCAATCGAAATTACCAGATTTATATAATCGAACAGTAATCGATATTGAACAATTTAATGATGGTATGTTGAGTTTTATTGACATATAACGCGAAAGTCTTACCATAAAATATTCGCTCAATTCTTCAAACTGCTAAACAATAACTAGCTAGAGTCAGAAGCAGTTAGTTCGAAATAGAATTTTTTGCTCTTTCTAAACATATGTACAGATTTTCCTTTTGGGGTAATATTGAACAACTGTCATTAAATTTTGTGAAAAAATTTAATATTGTGTTTCTACGAAGCAAAGTAGCGATTTTGGTGTAGTCCGTAGCTGAGTTTTACTTAGATAACAAAAAACTCTTGTAAGACCAAGCTGATCTGTGGAGTGCACCGCCCTCGCGTTAAATAAAATACTAGTCCTTAGTTTATGTTTTGAAACAGCTTCGATTCAACATTATTATCGAGCATTAGATTCTGTTAAAAATGAGATATTACAAGAAGAAAAATTCCATCTATGTATTTCCACTGAAGCGCTAGTATCTATGGAAATCTACATTAGTCAAAAAAGAATCGCTTGAGGAAGATAAAAATAGGACAGTAAGTAGTACACCTTGTGAAGCAAACTTTGCTGTAAAAAATTGAGCCATTAAAAATTGTTTTGCATTTTGAATTTGATAGATTACAATCGAAATGCTAAAATATCAGGAGAAGAAGAATATCTTTGCCTTTCAACTATCGTCCGATATGGGATGCTGCCTTTCGACAGTTTTTATAGTCTAATAACGTCCTTATTATTAAGACTAGCTGTCATTCTGAACATAAGACTGACTTGATGCCGAGTCATTGCTCTAGATTGCTTGAGATTCACATACATATCAACTAGCCATAAGGATCCAGTGGCCTTTAAATGATCGAAAAATGAATGAATATTTTGTGCTAAGACTTCTGAACTATAGATTATATGGATAAAATAAAAAATTTTCTCGTTTGGTTCAGAATTATGTCAAACACAATCAACAACTGATGCACAATGTTTGGCAGATACACTTCAAATTCTTACTATTCTCATTCCACATGTTCATGAAACTATTTTAAATAATGTAAATTATCATTTATGTTTAAAATTCTTTATTCTATTTTTAATCTATTTTAATTCTTTAGTATCTTAATCTTTTACCTAATTTATCTCGATGTTTATCATCTAAATATACAGTAATACGTTTTTTCACTGCACGTTGTATTGGTATTTTATCAATACATAAAACAGAATATGTACTTCAATTTATTATTGATTTTATCCTACCAAAATTAACAAATACAAATATGGATACAAGTTATTTACAAGGACCAATAGAAACTTTATATCGTATGAAAAGAAAAATGTTTCTCTTTTTAATATTTATTTTTTTTATTTTTATTTTAGATGTTATTGATAAACAAGCACTTAATATTGTTCCTTATGCAAAACATTTAATGTTACCTTGTATTCAAACTATGACACATCAAGATTGGTATATACGATCGATAGCTAGCAATTGTTTTGCTGTTCTTATTAAATATTATGCTCTATATGTAAGAATGATTTAAGAAAATATTTAAAAAAAAGAAGAAAGTTCAATCATATTTTATAATTATAGAATGATGATAAACCTATTGAACATACAAATGGTACGGAAAATGAAAATTTTCTTGAACAACTTTTCGATAATACAAAAATGCCTGTTTATCATTTACCAATGCCGATCAAAGCGGACATTCGACCATATCAACATGTAAGTATAATAAAAACAAAACTAAAGAAATTTTTTAACAATATTAATTAATACGATATTTACAAAATACAGAACTGTATAGAATTTCTCGTGCTGCTATCAATTCATTTCACCCATGTGAAAAAAAATAGGGGAAAAATCAGATTAAAATCGATTACAATTTGATTAAAAATCAATTATAATCATACACCTTTAATCGATTATTAATCGATGTAGAATCGATTATTAATCGATGTAGAATCGATTATAATTAGTCCTAATCGATTTTAATCAGCCATAATCGGTTACAATCACGGAAACAGTTATTCTACTATATTAATCAATTAAAATTGATTAGGACTGATTTTAATCGATTCTACATCGATTATTAATCGATTAAAGGTGTATGATTATAATCGATTTTTAATTGATTGAGAATCGATTAAAATTCACAGTAATCATTACAAATCTACCTGCGTTGTTACTACACTACAGTGGCTATATTCTAAAAACTAGTCACTAAAACATGGTGTGTGAGTGTAAATCTAGACATAAATGAGCAGAATCTCATGCCCACACCCACATCCTAAAGGCAACCCCGTAGTAGGTTATTAAAAGATGGATAGAAACAGTCGTTCCGCATACCATCACTCATTATCTAAAAATAAAATAAAAAATATAAGTCTTTTAATATCAACATCAGACTTACGTAGTAACTCGAATCGTATATAATCCTAAATAGAAATAAAAGAAGACATTTGTTTTTCAATCTGAAAATGGAACATACTTTATTCAATCGTTGACGATCTTTAAAAAGTATTAGCTTTTCAGTATCAAAATAAGACTTGCTTTGTAAATTGAACCATGTATGATCTAAACTGAAAAAGGAAGAAATATGAAGTTATCACTATGAGCACGAGACTTACTTTGTAAAGCAAATCGTTTATTATCTCAAAATGGCAATAAATAAAAGTACTTATTTTTCAATATCAGCATAACACTTACAGTATAATTGAAATAGTTTATGACCTAAAATGGAAATAAAAAAATGTATTATATTCGCAAATATGAGCCTGAAACTCACTTTGTAAAATGAATCATTCGTGATCTACAATAGAAATAAATGATATATTAGTTTTTCCATGTTGAACATCATACTGATATGGTAAATCGAGTGATATATAATCTGAAAGAGAAATAAAAGAAAGCATTAGTTTTTCAATATGAACATGAGAAGTACTTCTGAAATCAAATTGTATATAATTTGAAACAGAAAGGAAGTATTAGTTTTTCAGGATGAATATGGTACTAACCTTGTAGACCAAATCATTCAACATCTAAGATAGAAAGAGAAGAAAATATTCGTTTTTCAATAAGAAAATGCGACTTACTTATTAGAATCATTGACGATGGTAAAAAAAATTAAAGAAAACATCGGTTTTTGGGACTCGACACAGGTCACATGTTGAAATTCTTAAAGTATCCGATCATTTGATATTAAAAGATTCAGTCAAGTTGACACTTCCTTCTTTGCCTACGTGAATTCATTAGTACAATTCACGTAAAATAACCATTCGAAATATTCTAGATCTACTAGTATTGAGATACGTGTTAATATCTAAAAATAATATCAAAACATCTAGCAGTCGAGATGTTCGGACGGTTTATACGACAGCATTACGAAAACTACGCCCACAGTACAATTGAGGGATCAAAAGCTAGCTAAATTTTAATACACAAAAAGTAAAAGGACATAGTATTCATGATCAGTATTTTTATTGTATACAATGTAAATCTGAACAGTAGTATTCAGCTCCTTTGAGAATAAGTAAAGCATGTTCTAGAATCTTCAGTAAAATATATTGTAGGCGAGAAATTATGATGAGGGCACAGTAAGATAAAAAAAATCGTAAATATACCTGATTTTGAGTTTATTTCTCGTAAATATAGGTTTATAGCAAACCACATAAGATAAGCATTGTTTACCTTAGTGGTTAGCGATATCTCAACCAATTGAAATTAGATCTCGACACATTTCATTCCAGTTCACGTGAAAAGCACTTGAGCATAAGCGTCATCGTGCTAAATCTTCACGTTAAAGGTTTATATCTTTGATTAGTATTCGATTACAGAATAAAAGTCAGGAAAACTGAAAATACAAGGACATTTCTAGAAATATGATTCATCAGTTTTTCTCAGAACGATATATACGCACTGCTTAGATACCACGTAAATGACAATAATCTATACATATGTATGCTCTACTTGAAGCTTTTCATTGGATTTGAGAACCTTCAGTCGTATGATTCTGTTACGAATAAACGAGTTATAATGGGAATCTGGTCCAGAAGCTTCTGCTGCTCTCACTCTTTATAAATTTTAAAAACTAAAAAGGCTATCATAAATCATTATTTCGATGTTACTTATCAAAATTAAACAACAATAAAATATAATTTTGATGCTAATAGTATTTATTGTTTGCTCGCGAACTTTTAACATTATATTTTTCCCATATATTTTCAAAACTCAGACCGAAGGATGTAAATATAAAATAACAATACTGTGCTGATATATGCATCACGGCTCACAGCTCTTCCTCTTCCCTCTTTCTCCCTGTTATTCTCTGTATCATATCTCTCTCTCTTTGTTTCTGTATCATATATAAGCGTGTGCTGATTATGCTATAGACACGTTCTGGAGATGTAAAGTAGCTAATAAACATCATTATCGAGGGTGGCGGTAAGCTACTCCTCCAGTTTGTCATAACATCTCTCTTGTCATTGATCGTTACAAATACTCCAGGAATACGAATGGGTTTCAGATTTTGGAAAAAACTGATATACAGAAAAGATAATCCATAATTAAATACATTGTACTAAATAAGTGAGTAGACTTCAGTTAACTATAAATCTCTAACATATTGTACGAATGAAATCTATTGCTATTCGGCACTGATGAGAAGTTATTAGGAATTCTCTTTTGTATGGTTGAAAAAAGCATCGCATGCTCCTTTATGAATGATGAAAGGCTTAAATTTCAGTAAATTTTATGTAAACCAATCACTCAAACGTAATTTTAAGGGAGTTCAATGTTTAGTATAAAAAAGTTGAATTTGATATTAAGTGAAAAGCGATAAAACTAAACTAAATTTTAAGTTAAGCTAAGTGGTGCATCGTTACCAATGATTATAATCGATTCGAAAAACTAACCGATTACGGTGGATTATAATCAACATGATTTGATTTAAGGCGATTCTTATCCCCGTAATTATAATCGATTCGATAATCTAGCCGATTTCCATGGATTATAATCAGTATACCTTGATTCTAGACAATTCTTATTCTAGTAGTTATAATCAATTCGAAAACTTAGGTGATTGCGGTGGATTAAAATCAATATTACTTTATTTAAATCGAAAAAAAATCATCAACCATCGATGAAAATTGATTACTGCTGAAAATTGATTACTGCTGAAAATTGATTTTAATTGATTAATAAAAAATCAAAAACAATCGATTATACTCGTTGTACATCGATTTTAATGGATTCCAATGAAGAAAACGATTATAATCGGTTAAAAACTAATGACTCGGAATCAGTTATGAGAAAAAACCGATTATAATCTTTCATTTAATCAGAAAACATCAAAATCACTTGATTTTCATCAATTAATTACTGCTGAAATCGATTAAAATCATACATCTGCTGATTTTTCGGCTTATTTTTTTTACATGGGTGGTACCAACTCCATAGCTGGAATAAGAATTCGTGCATGCATTGGCT